TATGAGAGAGAGAAAGAGACAGAGATAGAGACGTGTGGGTATGTGAGAAAGAGATAGAGGAGTGTGAGTGAGAGAGAAAGAGAGAGATAGAGAGAGAGGTGTGGGTGTGTGAGAAAGAGATAGAGAGGTGTGTATGTGTGTGTGTGTGTGAAAGAGATAGAGAGATAGAGAGAAGAGAGTGTGTGTGTGTGTATTAGATATGACATCCAGATTAGTTTTCTTGTCATTTATTATAGATTATTTCTATTCAGTAACCTTATTTGATTCTTTTATGGAAGTGTCAGAATTACTTTTTGAAAATTGCTCAATTTTTTTTTAAATTCTTAAAACTACCTATTTTCATGACATCAGCAGACTAGTTAGGCAGTTTAAGAAAATATATTTTTACCTTATATTCTTACACATCTGAAGACCATGCACCAAAAGTTTTGTTTTGTAGACAAACTTCTCTCTCGGGGTAGCTCATAGTTTTTCCTTGATTGGGACCTTATAGATATGATATCCAAGAAAATATGAAGATGAAAGTTGGTATAAACTATTTTTGGCTTCATTTTACCTTTCTTATAAATACTTTAGATGCCATGGACTATTAAAAATGTTTTTTTCACATGGTCTACAAAATTTAATTTGTTTTTTTTGGTTTCACCCCATGCATAGCAGTAAAGCCACAAAGACACAAGTGGTTACTAGGTATGGAAGAATTAGAAACGGAAACATTAATAATGTGGCAGCAATATTCTAAGCATCGACGAATGGTAGGCTTATAGATATGTAAGATAGATTCTGGAGAGAAAAGTTGGTTCACTGTGTCATGTGAGATAATGTGAACCAACTTTCATTTATATTTACAATTTATATACATATAACAATTTATAAATATAAATTACATTTACATTTACAATTAACATGACACAGTGAAACAACTTTCTTAGACGCTGACCTAGCAATGGATTCAAATGATTAATGGAGAGAAGTTTAGCTTTGGAGGTGTTAAATTAACAAACGATCTTTTGCCACAATTAACAATGGACTTGTGTTCGTTTTGGACATTGGCTGCCATTTTGAACATTTCAGATTCATCAGCCTTAACAAAGAAACTAAACCAAGAATATTAAAATAAGGATTCTACAAGATTATTTTAATTTTAAAGACATCAAGTCAAAATCATGAAAATGCCTCACAATTTGTTCATTTTTTGATACTCAATCATTTCTCATTCATTTTTATATTCCAAGTTGTTTAGGTTATCCTTATATTTTATTGATGATTAAGCATGTCAGTGTCACCATGGTGACTTGTACAAGATTGATTGATCAGTGACCTGTCCCATTGTCGCTGTTGTCAATAGATTAGGACACTGTGACACAAAGTGGCAGGTTATTGATTACAATATATTTCAAATATAAAGTCAAAATTGTTTTGAATCAACACTGATTCATAATCATTCTTAATACTTTTGTGCCTGACTGATTTTGTATCCATTTGTACACGTGTGTTTATATGCTAATCTTTGTAGGTTTAGTGTGGAACATTTCTGTAAGTGTTTGTAGGTTTAGTGTGGAACATTTCTATAAGGGTTTGTCTTACTATTCGCTCTTTCTCTGTGGATATCGTAAGCAGTAATTGCAAGGACTTAAAGAAAAACAAGAACTATGAGGTTAGTATAGAAGTTTAATTGTTTTTTTCAATTTTTTATGACTTTTTAAACCAAAATAATTATATATATATATATATATATATATATATATATATATATTTTTTATAAAAAATTATAACATAAGTATGTTATAAAATCACTACAAAATAGCCATTTCTTTTCAACATCATCACTTGATAAGACACAGAGTGTTTGAAACAAAATGGCTATTTTGTAGTGATTTTATAACATACTTATGTTATAATTTTTTTATAAAAAAAATTATATCTGCTCTACTTTGTATTGAGCACTATTTTAAGAATAGTAATTGTTGGTTATTGGAATTCATTCCGTATATACCAATTATATACTTGGGTATATATATATACATATATATATATATATATATATACCGAATGTAATGAGAATGAAAATAATATAAATTCTAACATTGACAGCATTAATTCTAAAGAGGACTCGATACCAAGAGTACAGCAATAATTATTTATTAAAATTCTTTAGTTCTCATCAATTGAGATGCATGTGTATCGAAACAAAAATGCATCTTTGTTGTAAGTTGTTTTGTCTGTATGTAAGAATTATAATAAATAATTATATATATATATATATATATATATATATATATATATATATATATATATATATAATGCGATGTGTTTGTGTCTTAACCAATGACACCACATAAAGAGACTAGATCCAAATTGCTTGTTGTCTGGCGGTTGTGTTGTGAGAAACTTGGGGTGGCAATTTGAATCTAGTCATGTTGTGTGGTGTCATTGTGTGATTAGGGTTGCTACTCTGTCTTAGTCTTTTTTTTATAGGCCTTCAGCACTTTGAATTATTGCATAAATTGGTGTCTGTCTTTTCTGGTCTCTCTTTTGAGTTTGTTTCCTTTTTTTTATCATTTTATCATTTATTTTGTCATTTCAAGCTTTTTCATTTGGTAGGAAGTTGGAGTTGCATTTGTACACTTTGCCAATGCTTTAGTTTGTTTTCTTATACATACACACAGACATACACTCACACACACACACACACACACACACACACACACACGCACAGACATATCTATATATATATCTATATATATACCCAAGTATATGATTGGTGTATATGGAATAAATTCCAATAACCAACAATTACTATTCTTAAAAGAGTGCTCAATACAGAGAAGAGCAGATATAATATAGATATAGATATATATATATATATATATATAGATATGTATACCGCATGTAACATCAAAATTGTCCAATTGTTAGTTTAAGCTTTGAACCATTGTATCTTAGAAATGATTAAAGATATCTTACTGGAATTCTCCAAGGTTTTTATAACACTACTGGACTCTGGACAATAAGGATGTATTTAGCTGTAAGATGTGAAATGATGATCTGTCTTCCTGTTGTGACCTCCTGATCGAGTTTTACTCTCTACTGTTCCCTCTTTTTTTAAACTTATTCACCATTCTCTTGATGGTTTTTGAATGAACTTTGAAGATGGAAGCCAGAGTATGAATGTTGGTACCATTACTGAAGGCCTGAATGATCTATTAACTCTCACCATTGCTCAGTTGTGAAGACATAGCAGGACAGACATAAAACAATTTTAATCTGTTCTCTTTCAAGTTCAATAACTCAAAAAGGGTTTTTCAATGATTATTACAACAATGATTATTTCAATGATTATTACAACAATGATTATTTCAATGATTATTACAACAAATGGTGTCAAGATGGCTAAACATCTTATCTGGCACCTGGAAAAAGAAAGTTAATTAGTTTAGTGATTTTTTAGATATTAAACATTTTGTGGGATGGATAATTATCCTGTGGTGTTACATGATTTAGATAATTTTGCTGTTACACTTGGTATATATAATGGGCTATCTTGGACCTTTATGTCAAATAGACAGTTTTTCCCTTGACATTATTACTTTCACTTCTCAACAATTTTTATCACAACAAAATTTACAACAAAAATATTAAACACTATATTTTTATTAGATTGTTTATTTAAAAGAGTAATTTTATATTTTTGACACTAAAAACTAATGCAATTTTATAATCGTTAATAATTAATTATAAACTAATGCAATTTTACAATAATTAATAATTAATTATAAAGAAATAAATATGAAAACAAGAAGTTCTTTGCTAAACATTTTTTTTAATCTATTTTTATTTATTACTAGCAGTAGAGCCCGGCGTTGCCTGGGGATGTAACAGTAAGAGATGGATCAAGTATCGACCATCATAAAGACTGAAAGATAAAATTGACAAAGATTATTGTTCAAGGTTGACAGACGCATGTCTTAATTAGTTTTTTTTTTGTTTTTTTTACGAATTGGTCAAACCCAAACTCAAACAAAAACATTGTTTTCAATCGTTATGAGTCTACCGATTGAATAGAATTTTATTATAAACAATTGTCTTGTAAATGGAATTTTTAAAGCATTCTGAATGTAAAAATAAAGAAAAAAGTGTGCAAGACAATAAGAAACACTACCTGCCAAAAAAAGGTGAAGTTTTGTTGGAATCAGTTGAAAAATGTAGGAAATCCGATCACATATATAAAGGAACACACACACACAAACAACCAACCAACCTGGGTTTTATAATAAGTATAACTCGATATGAGTTGTCCCTCTTTCATTCTCGTGATGCCTCTTAATTGTGTTTTCAAATTGATTTTGTACAAAACAATTGTGTTTTTCCAATTTTGGGCGCTGTCAGAACCACCGCAAGGTAATTTTACATAACCCTGTGAAGTTTTGTTGAAATTGGTTGAAAAATGTAGGAAATCCTATCCAATATATAAACGTACACACACAAACACACACACACACACACACACACACACACACACACAATCTGCGTTTTATAATAAGTAAGATGTTTGTCCCTTTGCCAAGACTAACACCATCCCAATCCCCTATCCATTCACACAATCTTGTCAGGTAGGTTCCCCTGCTGCCTACCTTGTTACTTTTTGATTCGATATGTGCTGTGAGTGTCAAATTCTCCAAGCCCTCCTTCCTAATTATATCCATGAAATTTCAGCTATTTCTTTCTGATTCTGAGTATAAGATGCGTTTTTTTTTTTTGTTTCCATTTTCCTTAAAATTTCTTACTGACAAGAAAAGGCTATAAAATATATAAAGGTTCTTTCTTTTAGACTTTTTGAATCATGGATTTCTGTTCCTCACAGAAACACAAACATTTTCCCAATGTTCCCTGATACGTTTTTTTTTGTTCTGTGTTTAAATTTACATTTTTGCTTTAAAAATGTTCCAAAAATCTTTTGCTGTGTATAAATTCTATCAAATTTTTTTGTTTCCTTCTAGTTTTGAACCAGATTCGGAATTGTCCGAGTTTCTCACAAAGATATGGGAGCTTGATGACAATAAGTGTAACCCGGGGGAGCATTTCCAGATTGATTTACAAGGTAATTACTTGAATCTATTTTTCTACATTGTACCATATTGTTTATTTCTTTAAATTTTTTTTTTATTAAATAATTTTATTTTATATAATATCTATCTTACATAATATATAAGTCTACCATTCCTCCTTGCTTTGAAAAATTGCTGCCACATCTGTTCTGGTGTTCCTGCTATATATTTAAAGATTCTTGATAAAATCCAAAGAATCTACAATGTTATTGGTCCTGACCTGGCATCTTGGCTTCAGGCACTTTCCCACTGGCATAGCATAACTTCTCTGTGTCTTTTCTACAAATGCTTTGATAGTAATTGTTCTGATGAGCTCTTCGCTATAGTACCTAGACTTTATAAGTTTAAGTGCAGTACTAGATTGATGCCAAGGTCTCCTCATTTTACAGTTGAAATGCCTAGATGTAACCATAAGTTCTATGCTAACAGTTTCCTTTCTCCCACTTCTCACTTGTGGAACTTTCTTCTAAATTCTTGTTTCCCAGTGAAATTTGATCTTCAAGAATTTTAATGCCTTCTTAATTTTCTGTTTTAATTCTTATTCTTTTATCGTTCACTCTCCATAATTGTATTCTCTAACTCTCAGTAACCCCCCTGCATCTGAGTGGCTTCATTGCCTTGCTTGTGGCAAAATGATTAAAACAAAATATGATTGAATAATTTCTGTCTGAATTTCTAGAATGAGGAAGTATCATTATTTACACTATTTATATTCAAACTATTGTCCTCATCTTTGACAACAAAGATGAAGACAATAGATCAAACAGTGTAAACAATAAAGTTATTTATAAATTTGAAATTTAAAAAGTAATGTGTTGTGTATGATACACCTAATTTACATAAACACTCATTATTTAATAAATTTGCAATTTATTAACTGTAAATATTGTGTAATTCTTTGTTTCAATACATTTTGTTGGTTGTATTATTCCATGTATAATATGAGATTTTAAACACATACATACACTAAGATAAAAGTTAAAAAATTAAGCATACACACTGATGTCATGAGATATACACATGCGATGATCCATACAACCAATAGAAACAAAACAAACATTGAATTTAAAAAGTTAGAATCTTTTAGCATAGAACTTACAGTCACATCTAGCCATTTCAACTGTAAAATGATGAGATCTTGCCTCAAATTTAGCCTGTCCTGGGTATAACGATAAACTACATCCAGGTATTGGGTAAGATGATAAAATATGTCCAACAGCATGGCCTCCGAGCAGGAGGTTTTGAGGAGCATGGAACCACCTCTTAATTGCTAGTGTTCTCAGGTCCACCCTAACCTGGAGTGGTAGTACCTGTTAGGGTCTAAGCTATGGGCAAATAGTTAACCCCCAAACTGGGGTCAAAACACTATGAAAGTGTAAAAATAGATTTTAATACCAGAAATACTTTTTTACAAAGATTATTGCCAGCAATACATTTTTGAAGAAAAAAAATATTACCAAAAATAGATTTATGAAGGAAAAAATATTACCAGCAACAAAAATTTTGTTGGCATTAAATAACCCATTGAGATTGATATGTCGTAAAACAAAACAAACCAAACTCAAATCTAGTACTGGGCTTTAAAAAATGCTTATTTAAAAATATCAAAAAGTCTAGTGATTTTATTTCATTATTGTATTTACCATATTTAATTAATAAAATTAAATTACTGGCATATCAGGAGCCTTTGCCACTATTTACATTTAAAATTACATTATTATGGAGTTAGGTATAAACACTGGTTGTCTGTTTTGTCTAGTAAACATTAGCCTACAAGATACTTCAGCTTTATGAGCTTAAGGCCATATCATGTTGAAACATGTTCTCGCATGATCACCAAAGTTAAGCAACATTGAGCCTGGTTAGTACCTAGATGGGTGACTGGCTGGGAATGTCAGGTGCTGTAAGCTTGGAAGTGCAGGTTTGATAAGGCATTCAAGGCTCGAGAGCCTAGTCTTCCCTAATATTAAACTAATAGCTTGGGAGAGAAGAAATGGATTCTTACCTTTTCCAAGGGTATTAGTGTGAAAGTGAACATAGTAAACTTTGCTGAAGTATACACACAAGATGTTCCACACAACTGATAGAAACAAAACAAACATTGAATTTAAAAACTTATACAGACATTGATATGTCCCAGAAAGGGATATATTTGTTCGAAGTAGCAAAGTGGTTGTTGACGACTGTAACCAGGTAGGACAATCTAGCAGGTAACCGTAATGGACTGGTAGGCAATAGGGGAAGACAATAGGCATCGTCAATAGACGGTCGCTGTACCTCCACATCAGTCTGTATTTATGGCCGACACCAGCCAATCATATTTCTGTGAGGGGGAACCCAGGTGTATGCATATTCATTACATCACCAATATACATATGATGCCTACAAAATCGATAATAAAACTGTCATCTACCCAATCCTCATAAATACATTGGACACTATTTTATGAATACCACCACTAATATTGTATTTTGTTGATGTTATATAGATTACCATTTCATTTCCAACCTCCAATTTGGTTATTCCTCATTCAGTAACCCTTTCTAGGTTACAACATTTTGGACATGAGATATTGATCTGTGCAGAGTGCCTAAAAAGGTGGGGGGTATATACCATACCTATGAACACAAATGAGTATGTAATCCTCATTAATACATTAGACCTATTGTAAATGGAGGCAATATGTTGTTGAAGTAGTCCACCACTAGCAGTGGTTTACCTATTTTACTCACTAGTATTGTATTTTGTTGATGTTATGAAGATTACCATTTTCATTTTCAACCTCCATTTTGTTTATTCCTCATTCAGTAAATCTTTCTAGGTTACAACATTTTTTGACAGGCATGAGATATTGACTCTGTGCAGATAAATTAAAAAGTGTGGGAAGCATTATATCCTATGAGCATTAAAGGGTATGTCACAACCTCATTAATACATTAAACACTATTGTAAGTTGGGGTAATATGCTGTCTAAGTAGTCCACCACTAGCAGTGGTTTACCTACTTCACGCCGCTGGCAAGTATTGTATTTTGTTGATGTTATATAGATTACCATTTCATTTCCAACCTCCAATTTGGTTATTCCTCATTCAGTAACCCTTTCTAGGTTACAACATTTTGGCGACGAGGATGAGATATTGACTCTGTGCAGAGTAAATCTAAAAAGGTGGGGGGGTGTTATATACCATACCTATGAACACAAATGAGTATGTCTCAATCCTCATTAATACATTAGACACTATTGTAAATGGAGGCAATATGTTGTTGAAGTAGTCCACCACTAGCAGTGGTTTACCTATTTTACGCTGCTTGCGAGTATTGTATTTTGTTGATGTTATGAAGATTACCATTTTCATTTTCAACCTCCATTTTGTTTATTCCTCATTCAGTAACCCTTTCTAGGTTACAACATTTTTGCGACAGGCATGAGATATTGACTCTGTGCAGAGTAAATCTAAAAAGTGTGGGAAGCATTATATATTCCTATGAGCATTAAAGGGTATGTCACAATCCTCATTAATACATTAAACACTATTGTAAGTTGGGGTAATATGCTGTCTAAGTAGTTCACCACTAGGAGTGGTTTACCTACACCAGCCGCTGGCGAGTATTTTATTTTGTTGATCTTATAAAGATGACCATTTCATTTCCAACCTCCGTTTTGGTTATTCCTCATTCAGTAACCCTTTCTAGGTTACAATATAAACAATAAATAATTAAAAAACTGTTATAAGTCTAAATCACTCAACTCCCCAAATTTCTGATGAAAAGCCAAATGTGAAACTTACAAAAGATTTCTTAATTGTTTTGTATTTAATCATTGTACTGTTGTTCATGATGATGGTCGTCTTCGAGTATAGAATCCACAGGTTAGCAGTGAATAGTTCGAAGACTGTAGGAAAGCGTTGTTCAGGTTAGCAGTGGATATTTTGGTAAAAGTAGCAGAGCGTAGTTCGTCCTCCTGTTTCTTTTCGCCTGACAAGCTGGACTGGACATTCGGGTAGAGTAGACAAAATGGCCGCCTTTATACACAACAGATTGAATATTCTACATCTTCTGATTGGTTAACCTTCTATTGGTGGACTATAAAGTGAGTCAAGTCATTTGGGCTAACTCACTAGTTACATATATATATATATACACAAAAAACTGCAACATGTACTTTGTCACCTCAGGATGTAGGCAATCATGGCTCTCTTCAACTTCCTGTTTGTTGTAGCTCTTAATAAATTTTGTCTATCTGTTATTTCTCGTAAGCCCTGGTCTACCATCCATTTACTCAAGCTCCCTAAGTCCATTATGTGTTGTTTTCCTCTGCCTCTCTTGTCTCCAATCTGTCCTGTGAATATCAGATTTTCCAAACCCTCTTTCTTCATTATGTTCCCTAGGAACCTCAACTGTCACTTCTTGGTGTTAAATATAATTTTCCTTTTTGTTTCCATTTTCTCTCAAACATCATTATTGCTCCCATATTTGATCCATGGTATCCTCAGCATTCTTCTGTAGAACCACTTTTTTGTTGCTTATATTTATATATTTTAGTACAATTTCGAGATTCTTGTTTCCAAGGTTTTTTGTCTGTAAACTTAAGGTGTTCGAAACCACTTAAATGGACTTGCTATAAAAAGTAACTAACACATCATAGCATATATCAAATGTAAAAACTTATATTTTTATAAATTGAGTGGTGGCAATATAGTTAAAAATATATATTAAAAAGAATATAAAATATATATATTTTCAATTTTTAGGTGTGTGGGTGGCATAACAGATAGCGACTTGCAATGAGAAATCTGAGAGCAGAGTTCAAATTCCAGCCGAGTTTGTTACATTCATTTGCATACAAATAAACTTAAGAAAATTTGCAGATTCTTTTTTGGATTTTGTCAAAAATCTCTAGGTAGATAGTAGAAGCAGCAAACCAGAGGTAGCAGCAATATACAATTCATGGACAAATGAAATGGTAGTCTTAATAAAAGTGTAAAATAGATTCTGGCAAGAAAAAAAATGTCTGTAACAACACAGTGAACCAACTTTCCTAGCAGCAGACCTAGCAATCAGAAAAAGATCAGAAGTCGTAAGAGTTATATCATTATTAGTTCTATACAGCGGTACCATTTTTTCAGATGTTATAATGGCGGAAACAAATGTTTAGATTCTGGTAATTTTGGGGGAATACTGGGCTTCAAAGCTGCTGAAAAGAAACAGGAACTGTCTAAAAGTAGTTGAAGCATTTTAAAGGTGTTGATTTGGGTTGTAACCTAGGGAAGGTTACTTAATAGAATAATCACATAAAGGTTGGTAATGAATGATAATACTTAGGACAAGAACAACACATATAAGAATTGCCAGCTGCTTGTACAAGAAGTAGTCAACTGCTAGAAGTGAGTCAAGTGAATTCCACAATGAATCTTCAACTGCAGGATATCTACAAACCACCCCATGTGGTCAGATGTGGCACAAGGCCAAATTTAATGGGGGATATCCGAGCCCATATGCTCAGCCAAAAATTACCTGCAGGCCCCATATAAAACAGTTTTCCTCATCCGGGGATCCTCTCTGCACGTAGGCAGAGAGTTTGACCAGCACAGCTGGAGACAAATCTCCAACTGCAGACCAACATACAGTATTTACTACTGTATTTATGTGAATGGGGACATACCCATTATCATCCGTAGGTATGCTGCAACAATTTGTCCCTAGATGACACCCAGACATGGATGGTTATTATTTGTCAATTATGATGCTTTAAAATGCAAGTCAGTTGCATATAAAAGACAAAAAGAAATGTGCAATAATCTGTGCTTATACAAGAAAGAGTTGATTAAAAAATGAAAATACTTTTGATACAACCTGCTACTAATTAAAACTTGTGTTTGTCATTTGCTATAAACCAATTATTAACAAGTTATACTCAAAAACTATTGTGAATGGATTTACCTTCATTGGGTGTGTCCTACAATTGTGACCCAGGGAGACATCCTCCTGGTTTGCATGAACTGATTCTTAAGATTATAAAAGCTTAGCAAACTGTTTTTTGGATTACCTGAAAATAATCTTATATATTAATAGCCAATATATAATAGCCAAAAATATATAATACCATTGCTTTAAGTTCTGTGGAGACTGAAAGAGGGTTTTCTCTGATGAATATAATTTATTCTGACAAAAGAAATTGTCTTGAAGTTAAAAATGTGGCAAATCTTCTAGTCATAAATTTGATAGGTCTTCCATTGGATCTTTAGGACTGCAGAGATACAGTTCAAATGTGGCTAAGAAATCATAACACATCTGATGACACTAGAGTCAAAAAGCATCATACTTTTGAACAGAAATATGATGCGGACAGAATTTCAATCTGGAAATATCTTAATAGATAAATGTTTTCTATTAAATTATTAAAATGATTTAATTCTTTTTGATACTATAAAGTGATTTCTTTCCATTCTCAGATTGAAAGAAAAAAAAAAAAAGAAGCCAAATAGGTTCCTAAAGATTACATGCTTTTATAGAACCAGTTCCTTGAAATTTGGGATGCCATTTTTGAATATATATATATATATATATATTACAAACATTATGTCTGCTTATTTTTAGCATAATCCTTTCATATTCACAAATATTCATGAATATGAAAAGATTATGATAAAAATAATTAGACATAATGTTTGTATTTTATTCAATCAGATATGCCTAAATGAGAATTTGTTACCTAAATACACGAATATATATATATATATATATATATATATATATATATATATGTTAATATAAATAAAATTTGTCACTTAGAGGTTGACGTTATATTCAGCACTCTGACTCCAGAGTTTTATAGATAAACCTTTTCGTAATCACTCTGTCCACTCATCAGGAGTTTTCAACAATTGACAGCAAATTTTCTCATTTTATATTTGTTCTTTTTATATTGTTGTATCGTCGAGGTGAATGATACACAGAGAAGAATGAGTGCTTAATATATTTATTCAACACCAGTATCCGGTGCTAATGGATAAATACAAAAAAACACAGAACAATAAGTTACAAAACAATTAACAAGACAACTTACAAGGAATAGAGGAGGGTCAAATGTTGTATAGCCAAACAAAGTAAGATCAATCCGAATATTAATCAGCTTAGTATGAACTCAATCAACTGTTGAAGTCCTTAATCATAGGCTATGAGCCAGGCCATCTGGTAGAGTGTTGAAGGGGTGCTAGCTACTCTATAACAGATTTATATGGCAACTGTGCACAGTGGACCTTATTAATCAGCTGTTGAAGTCCTTAATCGTAGGCTATTTAAGGCTATGAGCCAGGCCATCTGGTGGAGTGCTGAAGGGCTGCTATCTATTCTACAACATATATTATGTTAGAAATTAAATGATGCACTAGTTATTGGTGTGAAGTTGATTTCTTTTTTTCTCTTTCTGTGTGTTTCTGTTTGTGTATGTCACAAATGTCATTATTTCTCCTTTATAACTAATTATATCATAGTGTCTATAACTATATTGTGGTCCCTATAAATACCTATATCATAGTGCCTATAACTATTTATATTATAGTGCCTATGAATACCTACATTATAGTGTGTAAAAAATATCTGTTATGGAACAGTGTTTATGAAATTATGCATTTTTAAAATATACATTTTCAGGTTATGTTGGCTACAAAGGTGGAGACTGGGCAAGGGATAAACTTTTTGAATGGGTGGATGAAGATACTATCTTTTCAAGAAGAACTTACAAAGGTAATTATTATTATTATTATTATTATCATTTCCTTTATGAAAAGAGGAAAAAAAAATTGATGTATACTTTTTGTGGTTTGGTTAAGAGATTGGGGAGAATGGGGATCAAGCGACAACAAGGCACACTTTAAAAAAAATTATGAGAGGTACTTGGTGAGATATAAAACCAAATAAATTTTATTAAAATAAAAACAAATTTTAGTAAATATTAGAGATGCACAAATTTGGAGGTTTGTGCACCTGGAAAATGGGGTAATAAATTTTTGGACAAGTAACTTAATTTTTCTAAAATGAGGCTCAATTGTAGTTGTGGGAAAAGATCAAGTTTACAATCCAAATCAATCAAATAATCTTACTTATTATAAAACGCAGATTGTGTGTGTGTGTGTGTGTGTGTGTGTCTGTACGTTTATATATTGTATCGGATTTCCTACATTTTTCAACCAATTTCAACAAAACTTCACAGGACTGTGTAAAATTACCTTGCGGTGGTTTTGACAGCACCAAAAATTGGAAAAACACAATTGTTTTTGCACGAAATCAATTTGAAAACACGATTAAGAGGCATTAATGAAAGGGGAACAACTCATATCGAGTTATACTTATTAATATCGAGTTATCGAGTCATACTTATTATAAAACCGAGGTTGGTTGTTTGTTTGTGTGTGTGTGTGTGTGTGTGTGTGTGTGTGTGTGTTCCTTTATATATGGGATCGGATTTCCTACATTTTTCAACTGATTCCAACAAAACTTCACTTTTTTTGGCAGGTAGTGTTTCTTATTGTCTTGCACATTTTTTTCTTTATTTTTACATTCAGAATGCTTTAAAAATTCCATTTACAAGACAATTGTTTATAATAAAATTCTATTCAATCTGTAGACTCATAACGATTGAAAACAATGTTTTTGTTTGAGTTTGGGTTTGACCAATTCGTAAAAAAAAAAATAAAAAAAAAATAAAACAAAACAAAAAATAAAACTAATGAAGACATGCGGGTCCATCAGCCTTAAACGATAATCTTTGTCAATTTTATTTTTCAGTCTTTATGATGGTCGATACTTGATCTATCTCTTACTGTTACATCCCCGGGCAATGCCGGGCTCTACTGCTAGCATGAAATATCATAAGAAAAATGCTAGCAGATACAAAACCATACAGATTACAAGGAAGAAGGTACAACAAAGTACAACAAAGTGAGGTTAAATCCATTTAAAAGGATATATTTCCCTTGGAGCTATAAAATGTTCTTAGTAGTTCTTGAGATTTGATGTGACATTACTTTCATTATTTGGACTATTGTCCTCATCTTTGTCGCCATAGCTATTACAACATTTCGGCTGTTGTACACTCCGGCCTTCTTCAGGCGTCACTTGGGAGTGAGGTTATTGGAATGTTGAACTTAACCCTTTACTCACTGGCGTAGACTGTTCTAGTTCCCTGTGCCATGTTTAATGGATGTCAGTTATAAATTATCTCCTGTTAATTTCTCTCTGAAAGTTATCAACTGCCTTAACCGGGTATTGAACTCACACTCTTTGGGTCCTGTCACTGGATCTAACCAACACCTTTATCCACTGTGCCATGTGAGGACATCTGTGTATGAAAACCTAATGTCTTCAGCCAACATTTTTACCAGTGTTCATATTGCAATTGTTTTGCTGTTATCATTGCAAAACCTTTGAAAAAATTTATTTTTTTTATCAATATTATTCAGTAATATTACAAAAAAATTATGATTCCATGAGAAATTCTTGGATATAATTAAATTCTTATGAAGTGATTGTATTTGGTTTAAATAGATTAAACAATTTTTTTTTAATAATGTAAAAAGAATTCAGCTTTAATTTTTTTCTAAAGTTTGAAAGTACCTTATTTGTTTATTTTTTAAAATTTTAAATTTCTCCTCCTGGGCTTCTTTCTGTCCATAGACATTTTGAGTATTGAAACTACGTGTTGGCTACAACCTGATCATTTGCTGTACACCATTGGACCCATTACTTATTCAAAAACATTCTCAGAGATGTTTTTATGTTATTATTATTATTATTATCGTTCTATGGGGAATGACTGCAAAACACTTCACCTCCCCTTTTATAGGCAGAGGTACACAAATGCATGCTGGGATTTTTTTCTTAGCCAATAAAATAGGCCAGTTTGTGGTTTGACATGACTCCGTCCAGATCTGTCGTTTTCATTTGGACTGACCTGTCAAATTCTCTGCTTTCGGGCTGAGAGGAAGCCAGATGCTATGCCAAAGGGCAGTCACGTCTGGGGAGGTAGACAAACTCAACCCTGTGAATGCAAGTTCTACAGGAAAACACTCTTGTGCCACGTCCTGCCTTCTGGGAAAATGAGGTAAATAACCTCAGTCCAGATCTGCCTCATTTAGAAGACAGAACACTACGTTTGCTTGTTGGAACTTGCTTTTGTTTGTCAATAGCAATTCTTAGTTTGTGAATTTTTTGTCTTTTTACTGTTAATTTGCCTTGCATATATTGCTGTTTGCTTGATATTATTTCATTTTTACCCTGTTCTTTTTATTGCAAACTTGTTAATTCTGTTTGTTGGACAGTTCTGTTCTTTATTTTGCATTTGACTAATCACTCCACAATTATCATTACAAACAATTAAAATCACATTAGAAATTCTTGGCTATATTTGAACTTTTATGAAGTGATTTTGTTTGTTTTAAATAGATTAAATAGATTAAATAGATTAAACAAATTACATGTTTCTTTTCTTTATTTTTGAAAAATGTAAAAAAATATCAGATTGAATCTTTTTTCTAAATTTTGAAAATACTTCATTTGTCTTTTCTTTTTTTTTTTTTTAAATTTTCATGAATAGATTTTGGGGTTAGAATAGAAATATTTTGGCAAACACGTGACTGCAAAAAAAAAACTGTTAAAAGGACTATTTTTCCATTGACATCGCTATTATTTTAACTAGCTTTGATGATTGGCATTGTTAAAATGATAGTAAAACCTAAACGTATGATGAAAGTGAATTTATACATTTTTTTTTGTTCTTCAGAATTTACAACAAAAATATTAAACACTATTTATTTTTAGATTGTTTATTTACAAGAATAATTTCATATTTACAACATTCTTACAACATTCTAAAAACTAATAATTGCATGGAGTATTGCTGCCATATATGGTCTGGAACCCCTTCTCTTTGCCTCAGGGTTCTTGATAAGATACAGAGATGGATATGCAATGCAATTGGCCCTGTTCTGGCATCTCATTTGCAGTCACTGAGGAGTGAAGGTGGTTAAAATAATGATGGTGTCAGTGGGAAAAACCACCCTTAGGACAAGCATTCTTCATCAGCCACATACATAGAAAAAAAGTCAATCTTTTGGAGTCTGGGAACACTCACTAAATTTTTCCCATATAAATAAATAGCAACTGTTACTTTAGTTTATATAATTTAGGCTAGCAATTGAAACCTGTAATAATGTTTTTATTCTGTAAAGGGGAAGTGATGTAAAGCAAAGTCTTGTAAAGTGAGGTATATCTGTAGTTCGATTTTAATAGACTGAAACTATTCAATAAAATGAGGTATATCTGTATTGAGATTTCAATAGAGTGAAATTATCTGATTAAGGGAGGTCTACATGTATTGAGATTTCAAAAGAGTGAAACTATTTGATAAAGTGAGGTACACCTGTACCAAGATTTCAATAAACTGAAACTACTTGATAAAGGTATACCTGTATTGAGATTTCAGTAGACAGAAAGTATTTGATAAAGTGAGGCATACCTGGATTGAGATTTCCATAGAAAGTATTTGATAAAGTAAGGCATAACTGTATTGAGATTTCCATAGAAAGTATTTGATAAAGTGAGGCATACCCGAATAGAGATTTCTATAGACTGAAACAATTTGGTAATGTAATGTATGCCTACATTGATATTTCCATCAACTGAGACCATTTTGGCAAATTAAAATAGATTTATTTTCTTTTGATTCATTATTTCTCTTTTGTTGACATGCTTTCAGCATTTAGAGCCTTGTTAGACAACTATGAAATGGAAGCTGGCCAGGCTGAGACATACACATTTGAGGAGAAACAAGAAACAGTGGAATTTATTGACGCTATTATGGAAACAGATGTGATGAAAGAAACCCATAAATTCCTTGCCTCCAAAAAGCTAGCACCAGAGGAAGTTGGAAATTTCAAGTGGAAATTACTCAATCTGTGGTTCAAGTTGGTGCGAAGAACAAAAAACGATCGGTAATTTAATGTTTAGAATTTCCATCTTTAACTTTTTAAATTTCTCAGAATTAAATGCACCATTTTTGTTTATTCCTAATTTATTCATTCACAGTTATAAAGTAACACTACAGACCATGTGTGTGTGTATATATATATATATATATATATACTATTTACATTATTCGGACTATTGTCCTCATCTTTGTCGCCATATTTATTACAACGTTTCAGCAATTGTACGATCCGGCCTTCTTCGGGTGGTTGGAATGTCGAACTGAACCCTTTATTTCGCTCACTGGGGTAGTCTGTTCTAGTTCCACGTGCCATGTTTAATGGATGTCAGTTATCAGTTATCTCCTGTTAATTCCCCTCTCCAAGTTCTCCACTGCCTTAACCGGGTATTGAAATCACACTCTTTGGGTCTTGTCTCTGGATCTAACCAATGCCTTTATCAACTGTGCCATGTATCCTTGTAATAAATATGGCGACAAAGATAAGGAAAATAGTCCGAATAATGTAAATAGTGTACATAATACCTCATCTCAGAAATATAGACATATATATTGGTAAGTAATATCTCCAGTCATGTGGTGCTGCGATAGAAATTTATTTAAACATGTGTTGGGTTTACTCACCTTCTTTTTCCCCAATTAGTATACATTGCATTTGGCTGGTCATGTGACTCTCAACAGCCAATCAATGGAGCCTCATCATTACAGGATAACAGTCTTCTGATAGACACAACTAAGAGAAGACACATTTCTGATGTTGACAGAGAAATAGTTTTATTTTGCAACATGATGTACCAGACTTATGACTAAAGACAGCCTTCTGTAACATCCACTAGTTTTCCTTTTCAGGGTTTGAGAGAAGGTATATAGCACATTTCTCTACATACATCTGGTAGTGTACACTGACAGCCCAAAGATCTTGAAGTGAGTGACTAGTATCATGTAATACACCATGTAGTCTGGCAAGCTGCAGCAACTTGATTTAGTATCAATTCCATAAGTGGTCACAAGACATCTGGAGAGATGCTGAGACATACTGTCACAGCTAGCTGATGTCTGCAAGTGCAGAATCTTGCCTGCAAATAGACCACCGTATCCAGTAAATGCTTAACTGGACTTATGCCGAGTGAATATGGTGGCCAGAGTATTCGTCAGGACTCTCTACAGTGCTTCTCAAAGCTTTTAGACAACTGAGATCCAAGCCCTCATGAGGTCTGTGCCACTCCAGATCTCAGCTCTAAACTACTGGAAACATGTCTCATCAGATCATGCTCTATGTTGCCAGTCACAAGCCCAAGTGAGGTACTGTGTTCAATGTCATGGTGCTAACAGGGGCACCCTGGTGGATCTTCTGTTCCCATACTAAGCTTAGTTAAAATAAAAATATAATATTAAATTTTCTTCTTGCTAAAAAGTATTAGTGTATTGAAAATTAAAACAAGAAAATGATCTATACAGAAATTAAACTTGATTTGGTTATTTACTTATCAAAATATTTTTATCATTTTCAGGGATTTAGACTCTTCTAGCTTTGAGCATGTGTTTGTTGGTGAAACACGTCAAGAAGGAATGATTGGTCTTCACAACTGGATTCAATATTACCTTCAAGAAAAGGCAGGAAACATTAATTACCAGGGCTACAGGCGTCGAGCAACAAACCTGGTAAGATACTTTTCATTTTCGGTTTTGTATTGATCCCCAAAGAACTGACATATTTCATTTAGATTGTCTCCCAACCCACCAAAGAGTTTACATATTTCATTTAGAACTCACCATAAACTTATTTAATCATTAACTTAAGAATTAAGATTTATCAGAAAATTTAAATATGAAAACCGTGAAATTTTTACAGGTTAAAATTTGTAGTGGTTATTGGTGGAGTAAGCTGAACGAGCATGTTAAGTTCAAGCTGAGGCTGTTGTATTTGCTTTCACTCAAATACTTTCCGAGTTAATAGTGGGGTAAACTGGGCCCTCTAGCTTTGGTTGGTAACCATTCTAGGAGAAGAACAACTCTGAATTAGAAAGTGGTTGGGTATGGAGTAGCTATTTCACCCGTTAACCTTTCGCACTCCATAGGTGACTATTTCCACAAAGCAAAATGTTAGTCCTGCCAATGATAAATTTGAATTTCTTCTTTGTGTAATCATATCCTTCTATGGCAACACCTAAAACAATCTTGACTGAAATTGAGAGCCAGGATTCTGCAATTTCAGATATATAGAACTAATATATAAAACACTATCCTAGAGTGGGTAAAATGTCCACTCCTCTGGGAATGCTCTACCATATCAAGTTTTTCTACCTCCCTTTTGAATATAGCTTTCTTATATTCCTCTTGTTTGAATTTAACCATTAGCACTCTGTAGGTGACTATTTCAGCCATACAAAATGTTAGTCCTGCCAATGCTAAATTTGAATTTCTTTTTTGTGTAGTCATATCCTTCTATGGCAACACCTAAAACAATCTGAAATTGAGATATATAGAACTAATATATAAAATACTATATTTTGATTGGATTCCATATACAGGAATTAATATTTATAAAATATGTAGAGTGCTAAATGTTAAAAGGTGGTTGCTTTTTGCCAATTCCTGTTCATCACCTTGTTCTGTAAAAGAAATATTCTTGGAAATTATACTTCTCGAAATAATAGATAATGAAATATCTCCTTTGGCTGAATGTTGACGAAAATAATTGGGGTTTATTGATATTATCGTTTTAGAAGATTCCCACCTGTGTTTTTTGTTTTAGTTTTGTTTCCTCCAACCCTAATTCTATATATTGTGTGTGCTGTATGTAATTGCACAATGCACTTCATTTTAGAAATTATCATTTTTGTGTAAAGTACAATGAATGTGGTTTCACTTCATTCCGAAGATGGTAAGTAAAAGACCTTGCAACCATATCACATGTATCTTGGACTGGTGCTGATACTTGACTCATTTAAATGGTTTTGTCTGAGAACATTTTTTGACAAATTAGTGATTGTTAACTTTTTGCATTCTGTATGTGACTTTTTTGCCAAGCAAAATGTTAGTCCTGCCAATGCAAGTTGAATTTGAATTTGAATTTCTTTGTTGTGTAGTCATATCCTTCTATGGCAACACCTAAAACAATCTTGTCTGAAATTGAGAGACAGGCTACTGCAATTTCAAATATATAGAACTTATATATAAAACACTATATTTTGAGGATTTTTCATATACAGTAAAAGGGGAAGTAATATCTTTAAATGATGTAAGGGGGCTAAATATTAAAAATCTACTTGCTACAGAAACCAAAATATCACTCTTTCCATGGAAAGTGCTCACACATACTACATTCTTTAATTCACATGGTACATATACAGTATGCATACATAAAAATATTTGTGCATATGTATGTACATGTGTAATTAATTGTATATAATATACTGGATGTAATAGCAAAATTCTGCAAATCCTGTAAAAGCAAAATTGTCCAATTGTTAGATTAAGCTTTAAAATGTATCTTAGAAATGATTAAAGATATCTTACTGGAATTCTCCAAGGTTTTTATAACACTATTGAACTCTCCTTTGAGCAATAAGAATGTATAATGACTCTACAAGATTAACAGAAGAATAGCGATGAAATCGATCATAAATGAAAAGGACATGTTCATCATTAATTAATCATAGCTAAAGATTGGAAACTCACGAAGTACTGAAATAAAGTTCAAATATATATATATTATTCCAGGATCATTTTCCAACATATTCAAGATGATCTCCCCTTCTCTAATCTTCTAACTTTCTGTCCTCAAGTAACAAGGTGACTCACAGGTTTCACATACAATTTTATTTTCAAGTCTTTTTTTTTCTGCTCTTTGGACTGTCATAGCTAAAACTCCTCTCTCACGTGCCAAATATCTTATGAATTGAGTTGGATCTTTTCTACTTGATATCCTTAGCTCTAAGTTGAAATGATGATCCCTCTTCCTGTTGTGACCTCCTGATCCAGTTTTCCTCTCTACTGTTCCCTCTTTTTTAAACTTAGTCACCATTCTCTTGATGGTTCGTGAACTTTGAAGATAGAATCCAGAGTATGAATGTTGGTACCATGACTGAAGGCCTGAATGATCTTTTTCTTCTTACCATTGCTCGGTTGGGAAGACAGCAGGTGTGACACAAAATGATTTTAACCTGTTCTCTTTTTAGTTGAATTAGTTGTTTTCCCATTTGCTTCTGTGATTTACACATTTTACATAAAGCCTTTCATAAGGTGCGAGCTGTACTTGTAAGAACCATCTTTTGTATTTCTTTAACATATGGGCTACTAGGGATCCCTCCAATGAATCGTTCATAACTTTTTTTTGTTTTTTTTTATAATCAATTCACCCTAACCAAGGTGATAATGCCACTAAGACACAAGAGGCTTCTGGAAGTGAAAGAGAATGAAAAGACTTTAGAAGGAACCAGAAATCCAATCCTAAACAAGAAACAAGGGATAAACCTCTACTCCTGTTCAAAAGACTGGGGAGTGTGCAAACTGAATAGTTCCTGGTTTTCTATTTAGGATTGGGTTTCCGGTTTCTTCTTTCTATTCTCTTTTACTCTCAGTAGATTCTTGTGTCTTAGTGGCATTATTGCCTTACTTGGAGTGAATTGATTTTAGAAAATATTAAATATATTTATTTTAAAAATTAAATTTGCAGTTATTGAGAATTTTTTTTCATATTTGTGCATTTTCAGGATGATGAGGTTGATCGTCTGATTTGTACAAAATTCTTATGGCGTGAACGCCAGGAGAAACCGTCTTGTAGCATGTTTCTAGGCAGCAGTCCTGAGTTTGACATCGCTGCCTTCACTACATGTTTCCTGATGAATAAGATGGGGCATTGTGACTACCAAATTGGAGAATATGAAATTGAATTAGTTGTTTTCCCATTTTCTTCAGTGATTGGCACAGCTTATATTGTACCAGCTCGCATGGACGATTGAGGTATTTATTCTTGTTTGATATTTTTCTTTCTATATTTTATCAATCTGATGAATACTCATATATTCACTCTCCTTTTCCTCAATGTGTTTCCAGTTGTTGTGTTCTTTTGTCAGACTGTCCATATTTGCACATTATTGTTTTACAATTATATATAATTATTAAATAAGTAGAACTTATAAAAATTTAACATTTCATTATTTATTCAGCTTCATCAGAAATTTTTTATTGTTTTTGTATTTTTTTTAAAAATCATTTCACCCCAAGCAAAGTGATAATGCCACTAAGACACAAGGGGGTCAGTGGGGATGAAAGAGAATGAAATAACTTTAGTGAGGAGAAAGGACAATAAAAGAACAGATTTCAGGAAGACAGAAGATGACGATTGACATTGCATTTGAACCATTGAAGATTGTAAGTGGCAGAAAAACAAGAAATTGGAAGATTGTTCCAGAAGCAAGAAGTGGGAGTAAATAAACTATTAGAATAGAAATTACTGTTATATCTAGCAAATTCAACAGCAAAACAATGAGACCTAATTGCCAATCTAGTAGTACACTAGGAGGAAAGCTCATCAGAACAATTGCCATGAAAATATTTATAGAAAAAAACCAAGGGAAGCAAGGTGATAGTGGGGTGAAAATGACTGATGTCAAAATCTTAGGTCATGACCAATTACATTACAAACCTTTTTTTAGATTTTGTCGAGAATCTCGAGATATATAACAAGAGCACCAGACCAGATATGGCAGCAATATTAAATGCACAGATGGCTGGTAGATTTATAAATGTGCAATATGGATTCTGACAAGAAAATTTGTCTGGCACAACACAGTGAACCAACTTATCTAGCAGGGGAACTAGCAATTGATTCAATATAATTGTTCCATTTCATGTCAATGGAAAAAGTGAGACCAAGAAGGTGCAATGAGTTTCTCTCATGGCGGTTAGCATCAGTCATGCTGACGTAAGGCAGAAATGGCTCTCTATGGTAATAAAAAGATTGCAATTTTGTTTTGGAGGCATTAAGATTTATAAATCATTCCTTGCTCTAGTCAACAACTGATTGGGGGTCATTTTCTAGAGCAACTACTAGTTTCACTCTGTTGAACCTATTGAACTTATTGAACTTACTATTGACAGGAGTAAATGGTTGTGTCATCAGCATAAACACCGAGATAAGAACTGATGACATCTAAAAGGTCATTGATGAAGATAAGGAACAACTTAGGTCCAAGGATAGAACCATCAGGGATCCCTGCATTAATGTGAAAGGATCTAGAATGATTGGATTAAACCAAATATTTGTCCCCATAGCCCTTGCAGAGAAGGCCAGCATACCAAACCCTGTCAAACACCTTCAAGATATCTAAAGCCAAAGCTCAAGCCTCACTGTTGTGATAATAAAAATTGATTAGGTCATTTTTATCAACAACAGAAAAATGTTTTTATGTTGTGACTGATCCAGAAGGATATTCTACCTATTCATCTTATTATTTTGATTATTTACTATTTTAGATGTCAGTGTGATGCTGACTATGTAGATGGAACTGATCAAAGGTTGGAGGCATGAATTAACCAACATTTACCAGCCAAAATAATTAAAAATATCTGTCTGTTCCTTGAAAAATAATAAAATATGTGAGATTTTTTTTGTTCCTTACTGAATAATACAAAATATCTATTCCCTGTTCTTTGTGAAATCATTAAAAATATTTGTTGTTTGTAAATAAAGCATTAAATATATTGTGGAGTATTTTATTGGAATTAATCTTAAAAACATAAAAAAAACCCAACTTTTTCATTTTTTTTTTTTCTTTCTTTTTTGTTCAAATTCATTTCTTACAGTGCCATCCCCTTACCAGAGGATCATCAAGTTAACCTCATTAGTGGGCGACTGCTTCAGATAAAGAGTTAATTGATTTAAACAACAAATACAAGCAGTACTTTCAAATGTGAAATCTTGTGATCCAGTTGTCATGAGTTCTGAGGAGAACAGAGTTTAAAATATTGCCATTACTTTATATCCTTTTAAAAGTCACAATTGGTGTAGTCATTAACATTTTTTGTAATTTTCTAATGAAATCCTTCAGAAATGACTCTTTCCTTTTACACATTATTAAAAATTGACACCTTGGTTTACGTATCATTAAAAGTGACTCATGTTTACGTATTAAGAAATGACTCTTTGGTTTACACATTATTAAGAAATGACTCTTTGGTTTACACATTATTAAGAAATGACTCTTTGGTTTACACATTATTAAGAAATGACTCTTTGGTTTACACATTATTAAGAAATGACTTTTTGGTTTACACATTATTAAGAAATGACTTTTTGGTTTACACATTATTAAGAAATGACTCTTTGGTTTAAACATTATTAAGAAATGAGTTTTTGGTTTAGACACTATTAAGAAATGACTCTTTGGTTTAAACATTCTTAAGAAATGACTCTTTGGTTTAAACATTCTTAAGAAATGACTCTTTGGTTTACACATTCTAATACCTAAAATAACAAAAAAAGGCAAAATTCAAAGGCAAATATATGATTAATGTTTGATTTTGGATGTTTACTCAATATTCTTTGAGTTACAATCTCCTTTTTAGTTTATAGAAAGCATTGGGTGTTTAATGAAAGAAAATAGTAAAAAAAACAAAGCAATTCTTCTTACATGAGTAGTAAAGACTCTATTGATCAAAATAGATGAAGATGTTAGTTCTGAAAATTTGTTTGGCATAAATTTATTTAAAGAAACATATCTCAAATCAAATCAAGTTTAATGAAATGCAAAATTTATTTCACTTTAATCAAAAATATAAATTAAAATGTAAAAAAATCTTTAATGTTAAGCTTTCTGTGGAATTTTATTTTTTGATTTATTTAAAAAATAAACTGGTTTTTAAAATATTTTTCAAAATTTATTTTTAAAATTTAATTCACATGTGAAAACTTATATTTTCATTTCTAAATGCAGCTGATTATCATGAAATAATTATATTTTCATACAATATAATGTTTCTTGATAAAATTTCTTAGTAAAAAAATTAAAAATTCTCTTCATGAATTTTGTCTTGTCATATAATCATTAACAAATAAATTAACTTAAGGAAATTGACTATTTTTTTTTAAATTTTATAAAGTAATTATTCTTTCATATTTCTATTCATTGGATGAAATAAATTTAATTTTGTTTTTTTTAAAGGTTAAAATTAAATTTTACTTATTTTTATTCTTTAAGAGTATTTAATCTCTATCCTGTTCTAAATGAGAGAATTTATGTGTTTAAGCACACTACTCCCCCCTACCAACAAAAAGCCCCCCCTCCCCACCAAAGAAACAAAACAACTGCAGTGACACAGCTTTCCAAGAATTAATCACTTTTTCCTTTTTTTTCTTCCTTTTTTTGTTTCATATTACAGTAAGCTCTCTAGATCATGAATATAATTTTATTTTTTTATTTTTTATTTTTTTTAGATTTTAAGAGCAGAGTTTAGTCTGTCATGTAAATTCATTGTACAAACTATATTATGTAGGGGTGACAAGATTTTTGGACCAACCTGTAAATCAATTCCTTTATCCAAAAATGAAGGAGTAGAAATAATAATAATAATAATAATAATAATAATAATAATAATAATAATAATAGTAATAAAAGGGTCAAAAATGGAAAAGTGAAGTAAGAATCATATTCTGCAACTTTTTTGAAATTATTTATGATTTTATAATCATTATTTTAAAGACGCACAGGAAAAACGTATGAAAGAATAGGCTTTAAATAATATAATAATAATGAAATATTAAATAATATAATAATAATTAATTATAATAATATTTTAATAATAATTAAATAATATAATTATAATGAAAGCATAGGCTTTAAATAATATAAATATCAATTTATTTTCAATTTAACTTGAAATTATTTGAAAATTTTTAAGTTAACTCATAATCTTCTTTATCATGTGGCATAAGCACATTTTGTTTGTTTTTGTTTTCTTTTTGATTTGCCTGGGGGATCAATTTTTAATGAATTTACATAGCAAATTGAACCCCTACTTCTTAAAATTTAGAAAATACAATTTGTTCTATATTCATGATCGAGAGTATTTTCCATTTCTTCTCCATACACAACTATGGGTTGAATAGCAGGACAGACTGTGTTCTTTAGCCTTGGTTGTCAACCAGTCTACTGCAGAAAGAAATGGCAACCTACTGTGGGAAAAAAATCTGCCTTGTCAGTCATGTATAGAAAGATACATGATTGCTTAAGCATGTATTATGTATGGCACTTAACTGACTGAATATGGAGATAATTTTTGAAAAAAAATTGATTATTGCTTGGAAAGCAGTGTTTCAGTAAAAAGGTGTTATATTCCGTGCTTAGGGAATAAACACATAACACCAGGTGGATAATAGAAGAAAGGTTTATTGTACACAACCAGTACAATATGAAATACGGTACAGTTATACACACAGGTCAATCTAGTTAATGAGTGCCACTAATTGGAAGGTCAGACGTGCTTGCGTCGTCTCACTCTTACTTTTCCTCAAGTCTCTAAGAGACGGTTGACTTTATAGGTACTTACTACCTATAGTGTAATCATTCATGTGGGTGACTGGTTATTCTATTACAAAAGGCGTCTATTTTTTTTTCTTTTTAGTGTTTAGAAGAAAATTCTTCTTTATTTGATCTCCTTTCAATCCATAGAAATCTTAAAATGATTTTATGATTGACAGGAATGAAAAGCATCAACCACTTGTTAACAATTTGCTTGATGCTTTATGCAGTGGTTCTCAACGTGCACCTTTTTCACCATAAGACAGAATGTTGTCCCCCTTTCCAAGATTGTCCAACTCAAAAGGTTCATTCCAAATAATATATTGAAAATCTTCAATCTTTTCTATAGAATATTTACATGGTGGTCCAAAAGTCTTGTCAACTTCTGCCAAAAAGTAATGAGAACTTGTGCTGGACTTTGCCACATTAATTTAACTTTAGATTAGGAAACAGGGCTGACGTAGAAAAAGATAACCAAAAGACATTGTTACACATAAAATATGTATTTAACAAGATGTACAATATCAAACAACAATGTGAAGGAAAGCATGCATTTAAGTAAGAAAAGGTTGAATTAACCAAGAGTTGTCTCTCTTTAACTAATTTTAGTGTTCCAAAGTTCACTGGAAGAATGTTCATGAGCGTCTCTTGCAATGATTGTTCTTGAAAGATATTGCTGTGTAAGAAGAGTTTATGTGAGTGTGTACAAGGTATGTTCAGCATGTGAGTGGTGTGTGTGAGTGAGAAAGTTGGTGCATGGTTTCAACTGTCAAGGATTCGTTTGGCAGTTGAATTTCTCACTAATTAGGATTAGAAAACTCTTGCTTAAATAAGTGACTGTAGGCTCCAAATCGCTGCGCAGGATGAATTATTCTTCATGTGCAAATGATCTGATTGGTTGGTATAGACCAATCAGCGAGCGAGTTTTGGGGAGACTTAAGAAAGCTTCTGTGATCCGTTTCTCCCAAAAGTGCACAAAACTGACTACATAAAAATAGAGCGAGTACAAAATTGTCGCATTGCTGTGATTTGTAAATTGCCTATAATAACATAGTGGTGATTAATTAACCAATGAATGCTTGGCATTGTATGTGATTTGTATTTTTGTATGTATGTATGCTCGTGTGTGATAGATTAGCACAAACTCAGAGAAGAATAGAAGAACAATTAATCCAGTACAGTGTGACCCGGATATAAGAGAAACCCGGATATAAGAGAAACCCGGATATAAGAGAAACCCGGATATAAGAGAAACCCGGATATAAGAGAGATTTTCTCTGGACCCAAATTAGAGCCTGTGTTAATGTATATAAATTAGACCCGGATATAAGAGATTTTCTCTGGCCTCGTCCTCCCCGATATAAGAGAGTTCGTTTTGAGTGACAGTGTGATGTCGTAAATCGGTCAAACAGAGGTCAGTTAGAGAGAGAGTAAAGTTCAATGACTTAATCTTGACTCGTCTAGAGACACGGTGTGTCCAATCTGTGTATGTAGGAGACACCCTCTACCTTATGATTTTGTTTTGTGTGTCTAAGGGTAGCGCCACCCACTTTTTTGCCGACTTTGCTTGTCGTTGCATTTACTGGACAGCACTTTCACTTTACCCATTGTTCTGTTGAGTCAGAAGTTTGTCTGTTTGTTAATTTTGCCAGAGTTTGCTTGCAATCATTGCAATTAGTGATGTCGGTGTCAGCGTCTCAGCGAAAAACTGAGCATTTCTGAACCCAAGCTCATCGACGATGTCAAAGTGAAGAAACTCAAACTGGCCACTGCAGCCAAAAAGTACGGAATCGGTTATTCAACAGCAAAAAAATTCTCAAGAAAGAAGACGATCTCAGATCTTGCATGCAAATGAACGGAAACACTAATACAAAACGAAAGCGCAATCCGTGCACAAGGGCGTTAACGAAGCGCTTACACAATGGTTTACGCAAGCATGTGCTCATGGAGCTACCGTCACCGATCACGTCATCAGGCAGAAAGCATCACAACTGGCTGTAAATCTTGAAGTTGATTTTGAACCAAGCAATGGCTGGCTCATGTGCTGGAAGCAGGCCAATAACGTTTCGTTCAAAAAATTTTACGGTGAATCAACGTCAGTAGATCATGGTTCTGCCAACGAATGGGTGACAAACATTTTGCCGCAACTTTTTCGTGGATATGATCCAAAAGATGTTTGGAACTGTGATGAAACGGGAATTTTCTACAAAGCCATGCCGTCTGGATCTTTGCGATTTGCTGGCGACGAACAGTCAAATGGGACAAAAGTTTCCAAAGACAGACTCACAATGATTCAGTTCACAAACATTGACGGCAGTGAAAAGCAAGCTGTAGTTGTTGGTAAGTCGGCAAAATG